TTAAATTTAAAGTGAAAGCATTAAATATGAAAAATTATAACCCATATAAATATAAATATATATATATATCAAAGGTTAAGGGGAAGCCCAATTTATTCTCGGTAAGAGGAGTTTTTCTCTTATAAATTTGACTTCTTCTTTTTTTGTGTGGTGGTTGGTTTGCTACATTATTTTAGGCCCTATTAGCCTATTTTCCTTCACCTATTTGTTTTTTTTTTTTTGGTGAATTTTCCTTCACCTTAAATAACATAATGAGATCTATATTAACTCTAGGGATAGTTCAATTGACAACTGGATGTCTAAAGATCTGTTTTGATTAGAATTCAAATCTTGACTAAAGCAAATTCTTGATATTCTTTAGTCGATCAGAAGAAAACTGATTCCCTCTCTAAGAAAAATTAATCTCACCGTTCCTCCAATTTTCTTCGATAACAATGATCGAAGCTTCAAATTTTCAATTACTGGCTTCATTTAAAAAATGAAAGTGGTGATTAGACATATTGATAAAGACTCCTATCCTTAGTAATGCACCTCAATTTGGACAAGCATACCGTGACGTATTAGCAACCTGATTTGATGCTCAATTTTAATTGGATACTTACCGCTAGAGCTGGCAAAATGGGCCGAGCCCGTCGGGCCGGCCCGCCCTGCTCCGCCCGCCAAACGGGGCGGGCTGAGTTTTCTAAACCCGATGCCCGCCCCGCCAAGTCCGCCAGCCCGCCCGGGCTGATTTTTCTTTTCTTTTTTTAATTTTTAGTGTAAAATGTGACGGGCTTAGCGGGCAGCCCGCCCCGCCTGCCCAAACGGGACGGGACGGACAGAGATATCTAGCCCACCTTCAATGGCGGGGCAGGGCGGGCCAGCCCGCTTTTTTGCGGGCAGGGGCGGGGCGGGCAGCCCGCTTTGCCACCTCTACTTACCGCTACCCTTTTGTCTATAGAATGTAATCTTTCTAAAAGCCAAAATTACAAAGCTGAATTTGTTGCGCTATATATATATATATATATATATATATATATATATATATATATATATATATATATATAAGATCTGTTTATAAACTCTTACAAACTACATTATCTTCTTCCAGGAAAACACTAGGTCACACTATATTTTCCCGAAAGAATATTAGGCATCTTCTCTCGGGAGAACTTAGTGTATTTGTAAAAAAAGTTTGTAAACGGATCATTCTCAATATATATATATATATATATATATATATATATATATTAAACTAAATAATGTAGTGAAAATATATTGTTCATGCGAGCTTGGCTCTACATATGTTAATAATCAGGTAGGAGTGGCCCCTAACCCTTAACAGTATGTGTTTTCAATCCGTAAGCTGAACTATTATACAATTACTTAAGAAGATAAGAAAAAGAGCATCCCAAAATTTTATGTAGCAATAGTTTTATTTTACTTTATTGTGGATTTGTCCTACATTATGGTTGGGGAAACATCTTGCGTAAAGCCAGAAATCATGTCTCAAGAGAAAACAAAGACGCAGTTTGGAGAACTATTTGTAAGTAACTATGGTTTAACATTTAATTAACTTCCATTTATTCAAATCACACATATTTGGATGCCGACTGAGTCAGAGATTAGCTGATCACCTGATTCAATAATGTATGAATAATGACATTACTGTTTTTTAAATAATTGACTAATTTGCTTATCTCTTGAAAGATGTACATTAACATTAGCCATGTTCTTTGTACCCACGCCTTTTTGTTGAGACTTCAAGCTTTATTATGCCAAGCAATTAAATAATTTGATTAATAAATGAAATAGCACTTAAACAGAAGGTGATATATCAAAGGGTTCGCTTTTTCTACAGGCAATATAGATAACTTATTTATATGGAGTTCAAAATGATGTCGATTTGAGGCGGAAATCAATATATTTTTGTAATTATAATTTGTTTCAGGGTTATAATAGTCTTTTTCATTATAATTTATTAATTTTTCAACCCAAAACGACATCGTTTTTGTAGCGAATGTAAATAACTTATCTACATTCACTTTAAAAACATTAAAGCCTATATCAAAACCTAAAATTTATAGATATTTGTCCAATCAAACACTTGACGTAGTTGGAAAATATTTTCAGGATTGCTGTAGTACTATTGAGCACTTAAAGTTACACATTATTAAAATAAGAAAAACATAACTGACTTAATTGCATATACTCGATATATATCTTTACCAGTTTTCTGTTGGGAATTTCAAGTATGAGTGGTGAAATATTACAGTAGTTAGAAATATATTTAGTGTTGACTATATAAATAGAATAACCTATTAACTAATATCTTATGATTTTGGATTGAGATATTCCATAAAGTCAATTTATTGTGGTAGATTACAACTTAGCCCATTGATGTTCGCTTAGCCATCTTCTCCCCCTAGCCGCATAACAAGTTCATGGGGTTACACCAAGAATAAACACTAGTCTTCTCGCCATGGGCTCCCCTTGTCCTCCTACGATCTGTTGCATGGCTAGGGGAGCCCAAAATAAAGGCAAACTTCATTCATGCATCAAAGTGTTTAGCAATAATTCACAATAAGTGAATTCAACATCACATCTCAACCGAAAACATTAAGGTGTTAGGTTTATGGGTTGTCACACTTATAGGTTCATTACATAGCTCATTCTCACACGATGCAAGATTTTATCACTCACACTTGAATTCCAACAATCTTTCTGTCAAGTGTGAGTCCTATTATTTATCAACTCTCCCTCAAGTGATTTTTTTTTTTGAGTATTCATGGGGTTACCAACCAAGAGTGGTCAAGTTTTGATTCTATAACATGGGTTTGGCATATCTTACAAACCCGAACATAAGCCACTATCTTTAAATACTTGGCTCAGTCAATTATAAATGGATAACATATGTCAATTACCATTATTTTAATACCACTATTGCGCGACCAAGGGAGCCCAAAATAAGAGACAGCTTCATTCATGTATCAATGAGTTAAGCAATAACTCACAATAAATGGACTCGATACCATATCTCAACCAAAAATCTTAATGTGTAAGGTTTATGAGCTCTTATACTTATAAGTTCTTTGCTTAACTTATTCCTATCCAACGCAGAACTTTATCACCGACACTTGAATTCCATCACTCTAAACCTTCTCGTACAATAGTTGATGGTGATGCTCCATTGACCAAATGGGAGGTGGTCTACTTGCAGGGAGACTGAAACATGATGCTCAAGTCAAGTCAATATAAGACTATATTGGAGAATGCAAATAGGTTGGATACTTGAGGGAGGGTGAAGAACCTATTACTATATCATTCTATATTCATGGAGGGATTTTGAGGATGTAGAGAAAGAATTATTGAGTCAAGTGGCGGGCCCAATAATAATGGTCTGGAACACCTTATATTTTCATAGTATCCATTTTTTTAATCATAATATCCACTAATTAATATACCTCATGTGTACGTTTACAAGTCTATCAGAAATATAATTGTGGATGCTTTTCTTGGTTAGAAATTATTAATTTTATGTGAACATGACTTTGTTATATGGGTCAAGCTGAAATCTTAATTAACCTTAAATGTAAATTCAAATGGCAAAGAGAATTTAACGACCAACATTACTTATCTGTAATTATTGTTTATTGGGAAATATTTTTCTCATGCTATATACTCATAAAAATTTGAGCCTAACATTTTTTTTAGTTGTAAGACTCGTTTGATTATATCTTTATATAAGGCAATGCTTTCTGCTTTTTCATATAACATGAGAAAAGCATGCCCTTATTTATTAGGGCTTTTAATCCCTCATGTCATAGGAAAATGAGATGTTTTCTAACAGACACATCGATATGTGTGATATTTGTTTTTATTTTTTTATTTTTTTTAAGAAAACCAATGATGGGACCCATTTTTGATGTTTTTATGACATGATGTAGTGATTTTTCATTAACATTATGTTTATAAATCCCTATTTATTATGTATAACGGTATTTGTGATTCCATCAAAATCAAGCAGCCATTGTGTTATCTAGAACATTTTATAGTTGCGCTTTTCAAAAAAAAAAACTTAATAGATTTCGAATTTTAGCGCAAAATAGACCAAGATAAAGGGGGCTCCTCATGTTTTTTTATTATTATTCTTTTATTGATAATTATAAAAATATCACGTTATTTTCATTGTTTTATGTTTTCAAAATTTATGAACACATTCTGGTCCTGGTTCTGTTGGGAGAGCGCTTACTAAACAGTTTTAACAGCTGCAACAAGATAGAAAGAAAACCTCGGTATAATTAAATTAATCAAACAGAGACAAAACACTCAAAGTAAGTGCAAGCGTGTCTACATTGTACAAAGCTTAGAGCATTTTGAACGCCAAACTTGTCTCAGATTAGATAATTTCACCCAAAAGAAAGGTTGCAATTGTAAGGAAAGACTTCAATATCCTTGGAAATTAGTTTTCCAACAGGGTACATTTTCACAACCCTTAACCTCTCTGCGGGGAAAATGTTACTTTGTAGTAGATTTACAATCTAAACCCACATGAACATTTCATGGGCTAGTTTCTTGAGGTTAGAGTCACTCTAAAATAAGAACCTCTCAGACATTTATGCATAACAAAAAAAACGGAGAAAATCATGTCAAAGAAGCATAGAAGCAGCTTCTTCTTTTCTTTTTTTCTCCAAAAAAAGAAAAATATCTTTTGGTCCTCGACAAAGATCATGAGCGTATTTTAATCTCTTAGTAAAAAAAATCGATTTGTGATCTCTCTAGAATTCAAAATAAGCCCGATTAATTGAAATTGTGATTTCTCTGAAATTCAAAGAAGACTCATTATTAATCCATAAAAAAGATTAACATGAGTTTATTAGTTCATAAAAAAGATTAACATAGATTTATTTTGAATTATAAAAAAAAAGATTACGTTGGATTTCGTGATATTTGTTGAGTACACAAAAGTTACTTAACTAAAAAAAGAAAAGAAAAGAGAGAACGATACATTGGTAACCTTTTCATCTGAGCATGGTTGAAATAAGAGACTCAAAAACATCTTCATGGCAAGGGATTGTGAGACCACTTTCGTGATCAAAGCCAAACTCTTCTTCTGCTTGATGGAGTAACGTTTGAAACTCTGGTCGACTTAGAACAGAAATTGGAACAATGTACCTGCTTCTGTTTTCTCCAACATACACAACAAAGTGACCTTTGGGAACGTCCAAGCGAAGCCCTTGATCATCATAACACTGTTTCTTCCCTAAACTCGAACATCTCTTCAGAATCTGCTTAAGAAGTGCTTTTTGAGGAAGTTTACTTGATTTTGTTAAGGCCATTGTGGAAGCAATAGTGATTTATGAGGTTTGAGACTTAGAAACTGCTGTGAAAGAGATAAGGGAACGTGATGAGTATTTATTGTGAGCCTCGAATTGAGTTAGATGTAGAGAGAGAAACAGAGTCATGTGGGGACAAAGAACAAATGCATAGGGTTGTTTTGGGGGTTTGTGCTTTGCTTAAGGACACGTAGGGAACTAAACCTGTTTGGGTTTACAACCCTTGTTACCCTTCTAAAGGACAACTTGGTCCCTCTCTTTTCTCTGTTTCAACTTGCATTAAGAAATTTTTCCGTTTGTAAACACGTACGGTTCTTACAACAACGAAGCATTCCCACAATTTCCAATGTTTACTGATTGCTTTAACTAGTTTGCCATGCTATTATTCTTTCCGGGGGGGACTCTTTTTATTATTTGATTTTTTTGCAATAAAGATGAAACGAAACGATGAGTTAAAGTCTCTACCAAACCAACAATTAAAAGTTTCCAACCCTTTTAGCCCAATATGTAAAATGGTCTTGGGTACTTAGGACAATATACCTTATCATTTCAGACTTTCACATGACCTATTTTTTTCTTTATTTTTTTATAGACATTAAATAAGTAAAATTTTATCAAATAATAAAATAAATAATAACAATTGAGGGACTAATTTGCAACATAATGTGACTTACTCCGTAGGTAACCTTTTTTCTTTCATTCCCATTAATATAATTGCGAACAAATCCAACGACCCATATTTAGGTTGATCTAGATTTAGTGCATCTTATGATCCTATCAATGGAAGTATTACACGTTAGATGTGTGAGAGAGAGAATTTGGCAGAAGAGAAAAAATTTTGGCTAACATATAATATTTTCATCGGTGAGATGTACTAAATTTTTGATGTAAGAGTAACATCAAAGATTTATTCCATATTTAGATGCTTCGCCATTTCACCTTTGATTTCTATCAAAGAGGCCAACCGTAAAACTCTCCTTATAGGATATGAATGACAACTTTCTTAAAAATATTTTTTTTTTAAATTTTTATTTCGAGAATATAAATAGTTAAAAATAGTGTTTAATAAATCAATTTAATTTCTGTTATGAGGAATAAAAAAACACAAAAAAAAAAAATTTTTTTTTATTCTCAGGTACAAAAAGAGAAACAATTTTCTCTCATCCTCTGATACACGTCTCATGTGCCTCTTTTTGTGTTTAACGAGGTCGTCTTTTACTCCTCAAGTAAACTTCTCTTCTCCTCTCCTTCTCTCCACGACTCCATCTATACTGTTCCTCTTCCTCTCCCTCTTGGTTAAGTTTTAATATATTTTATTATTTTTATGAGACAAAATATTATATTTGTTTTAATATTTTCATTGTATTAAAATATTATATTTTTATATATTTTAGTATTTCCATGAAATAATAATAATTTGTTAAATATGAAATTTTGACATTTTAATTAAAATATCTGTTGCGATTTGTTTATCTTACACATTGAATGAAATCTTTGTAATTATTTATAACCAAAACGTATGAATGTGCATTTACGTACGTCCGGTCACGTTAATAATAAAGGTAGCTGAGTCATCTTATTACAATCAGAGTATAACTATAATGCTAGCATGCTAATGTCAATATTACTCACAAGACAAGACATTATGAGTGAATTAAAGACGAGGGACTTTTTTTTTTTTGAAATACAAAGACGAGGATGGACCAGATTTAGTTTGCTATATGTTCAAATCTCAAAATATTTATCATTTTATTAAAAAAATATTGAACACTCACTTTCTTTCTTTTTTTCCACGGGGATGGACCAGATTTAGTTGATATAAAATTCATAAAATGAAAAACCGAAAATGATTAATTTTCACATTACATGTTGATAATTAAACAAGACATAATAAGTTTTTTATTTTTATTTTCACACTTCTTTTGCATACTAGGTGTACGGGGGTGTCCTGGCTCTACAATAAACTTAGCAGCGAAATGGCAGCAGAATCAAACACACATTGGTCCATATATTAAATGAGAACAAGTACTGGGCTTGGGTTTGACACTTTCTGCATAATACTAGGTATATATAGACTATAGACCTAGCTAGCTTCCCCATGCCCATGTTCTGAGGCCATAAATCTACTACGCCGCGTCTTTCCATTCTCTTTCTCTTCTTCGTTTTAAATAACGGAAAATTATATATCATTTTAAAAGATGTAAAGTTGTGTTATTTAAATGAGAGAAATAGATAGATAAAAAGAAAAGAGAATGGACAAAAAAAAATAAAGATGTGAGTCACACATCTTTATGATAGTGAAATGACACAAGTTATATCATTTAAAAAACAAACACTTTTTCAATAAAATAAAAATAAAAAGGGGGGAAAATGTATAAACTTTTTTTATCTTGTTTAGCGTTATCTAATAAAAAAATAGTTTTCTTCTTTTGTTTCATTTAATTAAGAAAAATACATATAAGCTATATCAAATTATTTTATTTTTTTTATCCTCATCTTCTTCTACATCTCTCGTAGACTTGATTGCTTTGTCACGGTACGGTGTATGTGAAATATATAAAATCATTAATGTTGAGCTCTTGAGTTGAGGTTATATTAATAATTTTATATATTTCTAATACGTCCCCTCACACGAAAGTCTATTAGACTTGGTCTACTAGGCTTGAAGGAGATTGTCACAGTACGGTGTCATTGGACAGCCTTCAACTCAACGTTTTGGAGCCTCAAAACTCCAAAGTGTTTTTTTTAGAAGAAAGAATTATGTTTGGCTATTTTTATTTTTATTTTGGTAATCATGTTTGGTTATTTTTAAATAAATATAATTTTGTATCAAACTCACGTTAAACTAGAGGGAGAATACTTTTTTTATTTTTTTTGTATGAAATAATTTTCTATCTTTTTTTTCTGTTTTCCCAAAAAAAAAGAGTAAAGGGTAATATTGTTTTTTTTTCACAATATGTATCTAGTATTTAAATAAGGGTAATGCTTTTTTTACATCAGAAAATATTGCCTCATGTAAAGACAAAAACAAATAGGCCTCACTTCCTAATAATGATAATAAAAACTAGCCCGAATTTTGATGTCTATACAGCCCATTAATTAAAGGTATAAAATGTTGATAACTTAAATGGTATAGTCGGGTCATGCTAGGAACAACATCACATGATACATTTATTAACTTTGCAGTTTTTAAGTGGTATTATTAGTGTTCAAATACATTTCTTAATCACAATTAGTGTTCTCAAACTTAAAGATTGCATTTTTAGCATTTCACTTGGTTCAACGCATAAATTTTCACACTTTCCAACATCAAGAACCTATTTTTATCAATTTAGAACATCAACCCCATGAATAACCCATGTTGTCTGAATTGTGCAAGTGGATGTGGAGGTGTTTTGGTCACCATTTCACCAAGGTTTCATACTTACTTCTTCAAGTGAGCACCAAGGCTTCAAGCATCCACTTCTCTTCAACAAAGAAGCATCTTTTCCACAAAGAACGGTTTTTAACAAAAACCCAAGGTTAGAGCTCAAGAGCACAACACAAAGGTGGGATTTTTCAAGAAGAAGATTCAAGAAATTTACACTAGAACTTAGAGAAATAGGCATCAAAGTGGGGTTCTTCAAAGAGAACTCAAAGCACCAACAACATGGCTTGAAGAAGCCACAAAAATGCTGTTGTATGGAAGGGTATGCACCATGAAATTTTGGCTTTCAAAAACAAAATTTGTATGTTCTTGAAGAGGAGGATGAGGGGAACAAGTTTTGTGAAGAGTGTTTGGTGTTTTGATGGAGTTTTGGTGGTGGAAAGTTAGAGAGAAGGAGGAGAAAAGCTTGAGCTTCAAAAATGGTGGGGAGAGAGAGAGAAAGTGGCGCTGAATGGAGAGGGAGGAGACTGCCTAGTCTATTTTAGGGTTTTGACCAAGTCACTTAAGTGACTTTCTGTCCTTTAGTGACACTTTGTGTAATTTTTATATGGACTGTTATCAATTTTTCCACCCGGAACCTCCAAGACTCAAACTTTAAGTAATGAATATTAAGTTTGTCTAATTATCATATTCTTAACTTAAAAATTTGATTAGTAGATCACATATTCACTTACTACTGTTTACTTGCACTGTATACTTTACTGGTGTTCTTAACTGTACCCGGATTTCATAATTTTTTTAACTTTAACATTATTGGTCTAATTATGACTTGTTAGACATATATTGGTCTTTCTTTCTATTTTCTCATCTTTTTTCTGTTCCGGGATTCTACCGGCAGCTTCCACAGCAGTACAAAATACCCGGCAGAAGTGGCTTTTCCAAAATACCCCAATATGGGTATCAAACTTCATCAAATCATATACTAACATCATCTATGGTAATCATATCATCAAAATAGCTCTCTAACTCTAATTTGCTAACTTTGAGCTATTCTACTAACAGTTACTGTATCAGCAGCCAAAAACAACAGATGAAAATCCAGCTGTGCAGAATACTATCAATATGGATATCAAAATTCTTAGAATTTCATCCTCATTCTATTTATGACCCTAAGGTCTTCCTAATAATACTCTAACTTTGAAATTATGAAATTAGGGTTATTATACCTACTGGAAGTACAGATGATGATGCATTTATGTTCAAAATCAGTGTATGGTGCTGTATTCAGATCAAGCGACCGAATAGGTATTGACAAATCATTGGTATTTTCAAAATCTACGTATATCTGCACAAGCTTTCTAGCATTGGTCTGATCAAAACTCGTTTTAGCTTGTTCCACAAATATATATAATATAATATCAACATCATCATCATCTGTAATTGATATTGCTGTGTATTCAGTATTGCCAGCAAGAGCTCCTACAGTGACTTTAGAAATATGTTGATTCCCTAGCAACCCCAATTTTTGATGAATGTTCGCTTTCAACTCCTTAAAAGTAGTACCGCGTGTAATACGCATCGGTTGTTTTTCACCTTCAAATGTCACACCACGACGACCCATAACATTTCTACCATT